ATTAATTGTACTGCAGTACAATTAATGAAATAATTGTACTCCTCTCAACCAATCAGCATCCAGTAATTTTGTCATGCTAATAATAAACTAATTAATACCTTTGTGTTTTATTGCATAAAAACCAATAAACGCGCATCAAAGCAGTCCAAAAAAAGACATTTTACTAACAATAACCACAGGTGCCAAATACAGCCTGCACTTAAAAAAACTGTCAAGAATTGTTTTTAAATAATTAAATTCCTACCCTGCTATTCTATAGGATTTTCTTAAAATTTCATATATTGTATGCAAATATATGCTCTACCAAGTCGTTACTTAAACGTAAGCGGTGCAAGCCTATAAACTACCGAGATTCCGTCTCAAAATTTGACTATTTTGCACGCCCCATCTTATATACGTGCGCTGTCAAAAATTGCCCCTTTAAACCATCCATAACTTCCACTCTATTGTATACAATTTTTTTTACAATTTTTTTGAGCTTTCACATCTTGTACAAACTTATATGCTCTTTTACATTGTTACTTACAAGTATGTGGTGCAAGCCTTAAAATGAACGAAAATCCCACTCAAATTGGACTGCATTACGATATACTATAGTTAAAAATTATACAGTATATGCGTTGCGAGGAACTTCCTGCATTTAATTTGTAGATTTTGCGCCCGCTATTCTATCGGATTTTTTTAATTAATTACACTTTCATATATATTATAAAATTATATGGATATAATAGAATATAGAATAGCGGGCGCAAAATCTACAAATTAAATGCAGGAAGTTCCTCGCAAGGCATATATAATTGGCTTAGTGTACCAAATGCGCGTAGTTATACAGCCAAATTTGAGTGGGATTTTCGTTCATTTTAAGGCTTGCACCACTTACGTGTTTGTAACCATTTGAAAGAGCATATAATTTTATACAATATATGAAATTTTAAGAAAATTCTATAGAATAGCGCGCACGAGTTTTACAATTGAACAGACAAAGTCACAAAGCTCACATGGATATAATTGGCTTATGATGATGATGATAAACTTTATTTAAAAATCACACGCTAGTAATATACGAGGCGCGAAGGACAGTCATGTTTGAGTAGGATTTTCGTTCTTTTTCAGGCTTGCACGACTTACGTGTAAGTAACCATTTGAAAGAGCATATAATTTTATACTATGTATGAAAGTTTAAGAAAATCCTATAGAATAACGGGCGCAAAATCTACAAATTAAATGCAGGAAGTTCCTCGCAACGCATATAC